TCCACTCAATCGCAATCTACTCACAATCAGTTCCAATTTACTCAGTTATTTTCGTTATACTATATCCGTAAACGGATTCATTATCCATTGCAAATACTAATTATCATTCCGTTTAACCTTTCCATTGTGTAACTAATCAGAAACGCAATCTGAGCTCCTTCAAGTGTTTCTAGAATAAAGCCTTTATTCTCTGTTGCGATACAGTGAGTTTTATTTTAATTTTTACCCAGCTCCCTTTCTAATTCGACAATAAACGTTCACAATACGAGACAAGATATTTAAAACATGTTAAGCTTCATTAACGAAAAGAACTGTCCGATCACAGAGACCCAGATGTGTCTCTATTCAAGCTTTTGTTCGCCTCAATTTACCATATACCTCGCTGAACTTGCACTCCGCCACTGTCACATACATATTCAAGGCTCAACGATCCGGAAACAAGTTGCTCATGGTTATTCCGAACAAGTTGAAAAGATATTCAGCTCATCTATCAGTCGATGACAACATAGACGCAATTAAAATATCGTTACAGGCACATTCTACACTCGATAACTGGATTAATTAAGTACATGAATGCATTCATGAACCTAACGGGTTCTTGAAAATTTTCCTATGCGATAATCATACATCGAACATGACTAGTCACATACGAGTACTGACTATGGAAAATTTGGTTTACAGGAAAACATTATATGTCATTCTTGAAATGAAATGACACTGTATTTTTATCTATATTACTCTAATACTTTATTACTAACTGAAGAAAAATATACACTGGTTTTTTCTATAATATTTATTATGTATATGTATATGTAGGATACTAAAAGAAATCGCGAATCGGCTATTGACAACAAAAACAAATTGTAAACCGATATTTTGGAGGTGAAGCGTAGGTTAAGGAAAGCATAAAAGCGTGGTCCTTGACAACCAAAACAGAGTCCAATTTTGGAGATGAAGCGTAGGTTAAGGAAAGCATAAAAGCGTGGTCCTTGACAACCAAAACAGAGTCCTTTGACATCGATTGTGAACAGCACAAGCGTGAGTCGCTTGGTGTTGGAAAAAGAGTTTTAAAAGAGTGCGTCTTTGTGTGTTTTCCTTATCTTGGTGTTCTTTCCTGAGTTAAATCAGTTTACGAGTTTTGAGTTTGTGTTATTGTGTTTTTCTTCTTTCGTCAATTTTTGGTGTCTCAAGACCAGTTTTCGCCATCCTACATATATATATATTTTCTATTGTATTATCAAAAAATAATTAAAATTACACACACTTTCCTCGTGGCCGTACTCACTCTGCACGTGGCCGCACACTCACGCCATATTACTTTTTCTGATCTTTTGTTTTCCACTCTCGTTCCCCTCTCCTCATGTAGACGTCGCTACCTTACAGGATACAGAGGTACTCTTAACACTAACAATTTAGTTCTTATTGTACAAACGCTCTATATACCTTGTTTTATTCACACTAACGCAACTGACTCATCTAACGAGGACTGAGGATTGAATACTGACTTATTGCCGAAAATCTTCATATATATACACATCGCTCTCCCTACTCCAACTACGGAAGCTCGTATCTACCAATTATATACATATAATTGCCTACAATCATGTATGTCATACTCTACGCTCAAACTGAATCGTAAAATAGAAATTAAATACCAATAGATGACTTTCATCTCAATTCTAGTTAACCCTTCATAATGTCATTTCCTGTAGTTATAAAAAAAATGAAATGAAACGATTCCATGCATCAATTGTCGTCACAAAATTATTGGTACACATTTCAAAACTTAATAATTTTAACAATGTCAATATTTTGTAGGGTATCCTTTTTGTTCTGTCACTTCAGAAACACGCTTTGGCATAGATTCTATAAGTTTCTTTAAAATATTCTTCCTCTATCTTATGCCATTCCTCTTCTAATCTACTTTGCATTTCCGCTTTATTAGTTATCGAATGCTTTCGTATTTTTTTTATCTAATCTGTCCCATGTCATCTCAATGGGATTTAGATCGGGTGACTGAGGTAGTGTATTTATGATCTTTGGATAGTAGTATAACTACCACTCTTAAATAATTTTTGATTTGTGATAATAGCGATACCCGAAAATTCCTATGAATCAGGACTGGGGTTCAATTCTTCCATTTCTAGCTGATTTTTGTTCTACAATCCATTTCTTGTCCAAGAAAACATTGTAAATAAACAATTGTAAATCGAATTCGTAATAAGAAAATTCATTTTTTACAATTTCTTAATAATTTATCTCATCTACAAGTGCTTCTTCAAGTCTAAGCATGTTACATGTAGTTTCTCCAGTAACGTTACCAAAGATTGTATGTTTATTCTGCAAATCTGGTGTAGAACTAAGAGTAAAGAAAAATTGGGAACCATTGTTATCTTTTCCAGCATTAGCCACAGCAATTAAATCTCATCAACAAAAAAGTAATCTTGTATGAAATTTATCTTAAAACACATATATCCAATAATTATTTTTGAATAAAAAAGGAATTCATTTTATTTTTAAATATAGTCTCACTTTAAATAGTTCTCCATATGTTTTACCACTTTCTCCTGTACCTGTGGGATCACTACCTTGTGTTATGAATCCTTTGATAATTCTATGAAATATAGTGTCACCCTAATAACCTTCCATACATAATTGTATGAAATTTCTACAAGCCTTTGGAGTTTCTTTTTTCCATAATTCTAACTTAATATCACCAACAGTTATTTTCATTACAACCTAGTTTGACAAATATATTAGTTTCATTAATGTAAAATACTTATAAAATCAAATTTATTAAAATTTATTATTTATTATTGTAATTCAAATTAGAAATTATTTAATACACTAATATATAAATTTAGAAAGTAAATATTGTATATCGGTTAAATTTTTGAAAACAGATATACAACCTATTGAAATATTATTAACTAATACTTATTACTTTATCCTTAGTGGCTGGCTCATGCATATAAATATTACTCATGTTTGTAAGTCTTCTATAATAAAAAAATCCTTCATCAATAACATTTCATATTAAATCTTTAGTCATTTACAAATCTGTCAACCAAATGGTTCTTTTTTCGAATAATCATCAGCAAAAGGTAAGACTTACCTTTTACCTCCTTTTAACGTTGTCTTTATTGGCCCAATCAATTCCATGTGCCACAACCCATTATTCCAGCAGCTTTTATAGCTTCCTAGTTCCTATAGATATTTCTACACATTTGTGTCTAAATGCAACATTTACACTCTATATTCAATTTATCTTTAACTTTTATAACTATTACCAAGTAGTCATTCTCCATCTCTTCAATGATCCTGATATTTGCATGTTGACACCACACAACCTTCTCCGTTGATGCATATGCCATCCTTTTTCTTTTTCTTGATTTGACATAATATACATTTCCCCTTCTCAGTGTCTTTATTCCAACCACTCTCTTTTCTTTATCTCCCTTAGCTCCATAATTCAGAAACATAACACATTAGCGATGATTATTAACTTTGATATTAATATTTATTTAGATCAGCAGTACAACATACCTCTCAATCTCAGCGTATTCTCTATATTTAGTTGTTATAAGAGGCCATCACCTAAATTAATTTCATTCCTTTTGGTCTGTCTAGGCCATCTCCATTTTTTGAATTTTTATTTGACCATTAAAGATTTCTATCTTGTATGTTATATTGTTAGCCTAGCTAGAATCCAATAGACTCATGGCTCCATGATAGTGATATTCCATGTGTCCAATATTTTTCCACTGTTGCACGTGCCTGATTATTTTAACAGAATATTGTCTTTTCACAATCAAGCTCTGCTATCACTAATAAAAGGTGGAAAAACAATGGCTCATAACTTACACTATTTAATTAAAACTAAAGGTTATGTTAATATAAAGATTTACATTCTTTTGCGTGATGCAGGAACACCTGTATGGATACAATAATGCTTCCGGTATTTGTTTGCAATATCTTCTCATTTCCTATGCACTCTCCTGTTCACTTGGAGAAAAATTAACAAATCACATAATTTCTGTGATTAATTTATGAATGAAGGACTTGCATTCTCCTTGTCAGCCGAAGAGGCTACCAATGCGTGAAGACGCCATGACGGTGATGGAACACGCCCTATAAAACAGCTAGGGATTCGTTTTTAGGGCACTAGCCTACCAACGTGCCGAGGAAATAAAACACTTACCAAACAGCAAAGCGGCTACTTATTAAAATCCTCTTCAAATGAGACAAATTTTTTCGCTCAAGTTTCATTTTATTTTTACCAAACCTCGTAATAAATATTCAAGTTTATGTATCACAGAAATCATTTATTTCAGAAAACCAGAGATTCCTTTACAAGATATTTCTAAATTGCTATTGAAATCTAAGCCGAGGTATTAAAATTTAGGATTAATTGCACAAGGCAGTTTGACTACATTCTCTAAACTATAATACTTCTGCTGACATTGTTTTGCGAACAATTGAAATATTCATGAAAATTCTTTCTAGTTATTGGGTTATTACTGCAATAAATATAACAATGCACGCAATACAATACATACAGGGTGTCCCAACAACACTAGTACAAACTAAGGAGGTGATTCTACACGAAAAAACAAATCGAAAATTTGAAGAATTTAAGAATAACATTTTTAATGTAATGTTAATGTAAGAATAACATTTTTTTAGTCGAAGCTTCGCTCTCGAGAAAATCGCCTACCTCCCTACTGGCTGCACTATCGCTACTGGGAGACCATACATACACACAAAATACAGTAGTTAATCAAAGCGATTGAATCGTAAAACTCTCAAATTATAATGCCACATATTTGTTCAATACATACATTAGTAGCACGTGTCTACATTTACAATTACAGCCATTAAACACACGCGACTATTCAATGGAATCTTTTCATGACATTATAATTCATTAACTATTTCGCAAGACAAAATGTAACACTTCATTCTAGATAAAACTGTTGGCGCAAACAATTTTTTAAATAATTCGTACATAGTTAATAACCGTCTTTTCATAAGACCTTCAAGTGGTTACACTAGGTTACTATGAAAGCCAGAAGGTGATAACACAATAGCCTCATTTTCATCGAATTTTACAACTTCTCCTCAATTTTCACATTTTTTTCTCCTTCTTTGGAAGCTTTTAATGCAAACTGGCACAACGATCACGGCATGCCAAATAATTTCACAATTCTTGCAACAGTCAACCACACGAGTCAAAAAATATATGAGACACCCAGTTTCTAAATCTCAGGCTTATCCGAGTACATTATGAAATGCCTCCAACATCGTCCGACTTCTAACAAATGAAATTTACAAGATCGCAAATATTTGTCGAATTATATTATCCTTTCACTTAATGCCAGGAACGGCTGATCCTACATAAGACCTTCAAGTGGTTACACTAGGTTACTATGAAAGCCAGAAGGTGATAACACAATAGCCTCATTTTCATCGAATTTTACAACTTCTCCTCAATTTTCACATTTTTTTCTCCTTCTTTGGAAGCTTTTAATGCAAACTGGCACAACGATCACGGCATGCCAAATAATTTCACAATTCTTGCAACAGTCAACCACACGAGTCAAAAAATATATGAGACACCCAGTTTCTAAATCTCAGGCTTATCCGAGTACATTATGAAATGCCTCCAACATCGTCCGACTTCTAACAAATGAAATTTACAAGATCGCAAATATTTGTCGAATTATATTATCCTTTCACTTAATGCCAGGAACGGCTGATCCTCTAAATATTTATTTGCACAAATGATTCGGTTAAAACCATAAAACAATAAGTATTTATTGCTTTAAATCTACAGTTGAATCCACGTATATCATTTTGTCTACATCGTACAATTATCTGACATACAAGTACATAACCTTTGCTACTCTCACGTTCAAGGAAAACGTTTGATAGGACAGCTGGCACTGGTGAGATTACTGACAAGTTCCAGATAAAACGCAATTTACTCTCATTTTGCTTCATCCTTGCTTCTTCTCTGCTTTTCCCTCTTTTCAGAGTTACATCTGCCTCCATAATTCTCACGTTTTCCACTTTCCAATGAACTGCTCCTTCAACTGCAAGTGAAAACAATTCTATGATTTCGGTACACTTTATTCTCTCGATTCAAAGAATCTCTCCATCAGTCTTACGTTCTCGTTCCATACTCACCTCCTTGAAAACGCAGAAAGGTGCTCGTCAATCGTCTGTTTTATAATTACTTTGGTAGTAAGTGCATTGTTGGAATTCAGCATTTCATCGTGGAATCATTTGTAAAATGTTAAATATGGACAGTCAAACAGTTCGTTGAACACCTCTATTTTCCATATGGCACAATTCTTCTGCGTTTTCATCATTATGACATTTGTTATCTTCGATAGGGTTTGAAATACTCGTATCTAAAATTTCAAGTAAATTTTGATAGTTTGCACTGCTGTGGATAATATTTCCTCCAAATCTGCACAGTGGACGCGAAGGAACTGCGACGAGGCTTTATCCATTGTTTTCCTCTTCTGACAGCAACTGGTCGACATCGCGATAATGCGATCTTCAAAATTTTCGTTGTAAGGTTACTCAAAGATAAATTGTATACTCAAATATCGTCCAGAAACAATATAATTTGATGGAATGTATTAAAACGAACAAAAACCGTAAAAATTTATGTAGTATCCCAATAATATACAATCTTGTTTATGTCATTATACTATGCTGGAATGCAGTTATTAACTAGTCGATTACGCTTCAATTCCAAGTAAATACGAGAATAACAATTACATATAATATTAATATAGCAACAAAAAATAGATTTCTTTTACTATTGGAAAATAAAATTTTTAAAGCTCCATATCCATATTGTTCAAATTTTTCAATTTAATATAATTTGTCGATACAGACAATAACGTATTTTATAAAAGATATCGTCAATAAAAATTCTAAACTATGTAAAAAGTCATCGATTTAACGTGGTTTACAACATTATAAGAACATGTATAAAATATCATTACTATCAATCTACAATAGAAAATTATTTTATTCCAAAAATATATATGCGTATAAAAAAAATATTTGTATCCGTGGCTTACGACTAGGCACAATTTTTTAAATTTATCGAATAAAAACATGAATTTTCATTCAATAAATTCCATGGACATATATCTAGCAATATTTCATTCGCGTCTATATTTAGCTTTCAACATGTCCAAATACATTTTTAAGGTATTTTTATCACCGTTATTTTTAAGAACTTGAAATAATGTATTTCCTTGATCATTGCGAGCATTTATTACAGCTTTGAACTGTTTAGAATTTATTGCTTTTACTTTGTTAACGATCCTGACATTACCATTTTCCGCGTCTTCGAACAATTCTTTCATTAATTTTAACAAACTGATAATATCAGGATCAGTAGAAAGACTAAACGGCGTCTTGTCGTTATTATTTTTCGCGTTATACTTTGCGCCGTGTTCCAGTAAAGTTTGAAAAATTTTCAGATTATTATATTTAGCCGCAATGTGAAGTGACGTGCTACCGGTCTTAACGGTTTTAGTATTAACAAAATTATATAATTCGTCGCGATTTACATGCTGCAAAAGATTTTTAACAATCTGTTCGTGACCTTTGAAAGTGGCAACGTGCAACGATGTTTTACCCTGGCTATTAACCGAAGCAACATCTGCTCCATATTTTAAGAACACGTTTACGATATCTGCCTTGCCACTGTCAATACTGTCACATAACAATACGGAGCAATTTAAATCTGCAATAGTAACATCAGCACATTTTTCAAAAAACTGTTCAATTACTTTGACATCATTATGCTTCATCGCAAGTATTAACATTTTTCTTACAAGCTTTATAGTCGTTTTAGTACCTGGATGTTCTAGCCCCAATATCATCTTGCGTCTTTTAATTACATCGCAAAGTATTTCTGAAGCTTCGATATATTTCAACTGAGAAATAAGTATTGAAGATATGTTACCCTTTGTTGAGAGTGTCTCTTCGTGATCTTCCCCCAAAATCTTTCGGTGACCGCGATATACCTCCCGAAACATTCTTAAAGCTTCTTCGCATTTTCCACGAGCTAAAGCTATTAGAGCTAAATTATTTTTTGCTCTATGGGTATAATAATGATTAGGAAGCATAAACTTAAGTTTATTATAATTTTCTTCAAAAATTTGCCGTGCTATGTCGAATTTCTTTTGAGTATAAAACACCAAACCCATATTATTTTTAGTGTTTAAAGTGGTCGGATGATCATCTCCGAAACGTTTTCTTTCTATTTCATATTGCCGCTGGAGAGAACTAAGAGCTTCACTATTCTCTGCTGTATTGCAGAGTGCTTCAGAAATTTCAGATATACGACCGTTTATAGTTGTAACCACAGGATGATCCTCTGTAAAAATGCGTTTCCATTTACTTAATAATTCAGTATAGTTCTGTAAAGCAATTTCATATTTCCCTTGATAATATAATATGTGTGCTTTAGTTAAGAAACTATGCAAAGTGTCAGGATGCTCAACACTTAAAAGCTGTTCTCGTTTATTCAAAACATCCTGACAAATTACCATTGCCTCATCGCATTTGCCTTGTTCTACTAGTGTTTGCGCAATGGCATTACGAGTTTCTAAAATCTCAGGATGGTCTGAACTAAGAACTTGTTTCTGCAAATTTAGTACTCCTTGAATCACATTAATAGCATCATCCAATTTGCCTTGCTTAAGAAGTACTGCGCCTATATTACTTTTCAATGTTAAAACTAAAGGATGACACTGGTTTAAAGTTTTAGATATAATGTCATATGCTTCTTGCAACATTTTTAAGGCTTCACTATACTTTCCTTGTTCCACGAATATACCGGCAACTAGATTTTGTGTATGCAGTGTGTCAAAATGATTTTCTCCCAATATTTGTTTTTGTGTTGTATATACCTTTCTAAGCATTTGTAAGGCTATATCATATTTACCTTGTTTGCAAAATACTGCAGCTATGTCAGATTGAATACTTAGCATCTCTGTATTTTTATTACAATACCCGTCGTTAGCTAACAAAGCATCTAATGCTATATGATAGTATTTTAAAGTTTCGTCATATTTGCCTTGGTGAAAGAATACCAAACCGATATTATATGCAACAGCTATAGATTCCAAATAGTATGGCTCAGCAATAATTTCGTTCAAAACTTTTTGAAAAATTTCACCAGCTATATTATAGTTTCCTTGGTGCATATGTATCAATCCCATAACATTTTTTGTCATCGACAAATGATATCGAACAATGTTGTTATCTTGTGATAGGGTATTTAACAAAGTCAAAAATCTCTGGCAGAATGAGAATGCTTCCTCGTACCTAACGCTCATCATAAATTCACGAATTATAAAATCTGCGACAAAGGCATACTTTATCACCAGTGCACTACATTTCTCTGTATAATTCCAAACAGATATTGCATGATTCATATTTTCTATATTTACTCCGTTGTCGATGAAATATTTTAAAGCTTTTGTTAAAATTTCTTCGTCTTTATTTTCATATTTTAATCTTCTTCTTATTACTTCCTGTACTAATT